AACCATTGGAAAATACCTTTAGGAACCAAAAATCTCCTAAATCAGCATTTAGAAATGGTGTGACCCTTCTTGCAACAATATATACAAGTAAGGTTAACATGGGAGTTACATTTTCTATCTTTATCTTTAATCACATACATATACTTTTGATACATATTATTCATACTTTCTCTAAAATGTGATCGATCAATAGCAAATGTGACTTTAGGTTTTAGAGCCTTGTCTAATTTTTCTTTAAGAGATCTAACTTCCTTTTGCCAAATATGACAAGTTTTACAACCCCAATTTAACCAAGTACTTTTGTCCTCCTCAATTTCAGCTTTTGTTGGTTCCACCATAGAGTTCTTAAGAGCTTCTAACTCTTTTTTGGAATCGGAAATCTTTTTCTCTAAATGTGAAAAAAATTTCTTATTTGAAGCTAAGCGTTTAAAGGCTTCTTTAGCCTCATGTGTAAAGTATCAAAAGCCTTTTGCAATTCCAAATGAGACATTTTATTAGAGTGGTCATATTTAGAGTGTCTTACCTCTATCTTCTTCCTTCGGTGAGCCATGAGACAAAGGTTGACGAATTCGTCTTCATCACTTGAGCTATCTTCATTAGAGAACTCGCTATCACTTTCCCAAGAAATGTATGCCCTTCTAGGTTTTCCCGATTTCTTTTGTTAACGATTCTTCTCTTTTCCTTTGTCTTTCTTTATCAATCGACAATCCGGCTTATAATGACTGGTCTTTCCACAATTGTAGCATGACCCTTTTGATTTTCCACTCTTGTTGCCTTCATTCTTAGAGGACTTTGATTGTCGTCGAAAGTTGATGAGATTATTATCCGAGTGTTGAATACCAAGTTTCCAAATATATCTATTATATCTTCTCACAAACAGTCCCAAGTCTTCACTCATATCTTCATCATAATAATTAGATTATCTTCCACTTTGCTCTTGTATTGAGGAATTTGAGCTAGAAGCCTTAAGAGCAATAGACTTCTTGTTTGTGTCTTTCACCTTCTCTTTATTTTCTCTTTTCTCATATTTATCAAGACTAATGAGCACTTGCTCATGTTCATCAAGCTTACCAAAGAAAGTTGTGATGTCCGATATATTGAGATCATTGGCTTCCTTGATCGTCGTGACCTTTGGTTGCCATTCCCTATTAAGACATATTAAAATTTGATTAGTAGCAACTTCATTAGAAATGAGTCTTCCAAGTGTATTTAAGTGATTGATTACATGAGAAAATCTCTTTTCCATTTCAGCAATGGTTTCACCTTGCTTCATGTGAAAGTGATCAAACTCTTGTGTCAAAGTATTGATTTGAGCTAGTTTGCCATCATTAGTTCCCTCACGGGCAACTTGCAATGCGTCCCACACAGCTTTAGCAGTAGTACAATGGGAAACTCTATAATATTTATCAACTCCCAAGGAAGATATTAGAATATTTTTAGCTTTCCAATCGTAACTATACTTTTTCTCATCTTCTTCGTTCCATTGTGCTTCCGGCTTAGGCACGACAACATTATTCTCATCGGTCATGGTTTTTTCCATAGGACCATTTTGAATAACATTTCATACCTTTCTATCAATGGAATTGATATGCACACGCATACAATCTTTCCAATAACTATAGTTCTCACCTGTAAAAACCGGTGTCTATTGTAAGCCCCTTTTGGTTCGTTAGTCGTTTTCTAAAAAGTTATATGTGAAACACTAGATGAACCAGTGCTCATGATACCACTTGTTAGACGATGACAATGACTTATGAAGTGTAAACTTAATTTGAAAATAACGCAAACATTTTGTGTGCGATTAACTCGTCGAGCACTCGGTGTGTAAAACACCCCAAGTATTGTTTCCTAAGTAGTGTAAGTGCGAATTTTTGCAATTACAATCCAAGTGATTGTAATAAGTTTTCAAACCATATTTTCAGCATTATACTATAGCAGAATTTTATCGATCAATTGATATTACACAAACGTAAATAATTCAAAATAAAGAGATAGAGAAAGAGAGAACAACACCAAATTTGTTTAGGCAATTCTCCTTTCGTCTTCACTTAAGATACGTCTGCCCCCAATTCTAAAAACTAGAATTGAGATATGTATTATCTTGTTGCAAACGTTTATACAAGAAAAGCAATAGTCACTAAACACTCAAGCCTATTTGTTAATGTTGATACTATGTCTTTTCTCCCCTTGATTCAAGATGAATCAAGTGCCTCGAACGTGTTGAATAAACCTCCAGTTACCGCTACTTGTCTGAACAACTCCACCGGCTTTCAAACCTTTCACTCGGTTGATTTTGATCACACACAATTTGAACCCAAATCTTTCTTGCACAATCCTCCGGTTAACACTACTTGATTAAACAAACCCACCGTTCTTCAATCCCCTTCGCTCGACTGAATATGTGAAGCAAAGATCTGTGCAAAAACCTCAAATTCTCAAGATCTTGGAGGACAAAACCCTAACGGTTTTATTCAAGAAAAACCCACCGAAATCTCAACCCAAACTAGATACACAATTCTACGTTTGGACGTTATCACCTCAATGATGCAAAAGATCAACAAAAATTGTTATGTATAATTGTTGAGAAAATGCAAGAACGAGGATGAAGATGATGAGAATAATTCAGTGTATATCTTTCACTTTTCTTGTTGTCTATTAAAATGATGAGACAAAATGAATATATATATATATATATATATATATATATATATATATATATATATATATATATATATATATATATATATATATATATATATATATATATATATATATATATATATATATATATATATATATATATATATATATATATATATATATATATATATATATATATATATATATATATATATATATATATATATATATATATATATATATATATATATAATGCCTTGACCAACTAACAAATATAACAGCATTTTAAAACATAGCAGATCAGAAAATCAGTTACAAGACATCGAACGGTCGACCTAAGCAGGAGGGAGATCGACTTGAGCACACCCGAATGCAAAACTATGCAGAAATTAAGCTATACCTCGACCGGAACAGGGCCATGCGTCGACGCAAGCTTGCTTCAAAATGACAAATTGAAATGGTTACAGTATGAGTCGACCAAAGGGTCGACTCAAACACTTTAAACTTCCAAAAATGAGTTTTTCTCATATTTTGGTATAGCTAAGCCATGTTTGTGCAAACCTAAGTCTCCTAACATGATCAAATGCACATAAAACATATATGAGATGCTCCTATATGTATAGACACGTGACTTTAGAATATTTTGTGCATTGTAAAGTATGAATGCAAGCTAAGATGCGATTATACCGTCCAAATTACAAAGTACGAGCTAATACACATTTTGACATCATTAAAATAAGGACTAGGGAACCTTGCCCTCACAGCTTCACCTCAAGGACTCACCCTATAAGCTATGCTTGATGGACTCACTTCTCTGTAAAGAGATTGTCGTCTAATAAATTTAAATCACTTTTTTCCTTTCGTAGGCCTCGTGCTTGAGGGACCGAATTAGAATAACTTTGATTGAATTCTAGAAGAGGATGACCCATAACTCAATCGGCCCAGGAAGCATCAGAAAGGGGCATTGAGCTTCTGTGCAGGCATGACCTAGAGATTCATAGAGCGTCCGTTTCGACTCATCACACATATGGGGCAGGCCACCCGACTCATTTTCAAATCCATCTGTAGATAACCGAAAGATAACGTGTTGAACTACGTGTCCTTGAAAGGGCCAGTACTTGCCACTCTTCCAAAGAAGAAATCACTTTATCCTACTAATGTGGAGAGTAAGTCTTTTGTTCTTATTAATGGAGAGAATTAACCTTTCTATCTCTACGCTTTAGTCAAATTGTTAAGAAGGAACCAATTCCTCGACCATTGATTTAGCCCATAAGCATAGCTCATAAATATTCCAACATTAAAGATTGAAAGATTTATTCACATTTTACATATTCAAGACACTTAAACTCTCGTACGGCCATTCTCATAAGTAGAGTCCCTCTCATTTTATATTTTATTTTCATAAGTATAATTTATAATATAAATAATATTTTTTATTTACATTAGGGATGAAATGAACATAAAATTTTAAAAATACCTAATAGTCCTAAGAGATTTTAACATTATATATATTTAAAATTTTAAGAATTATGATAAGCTTTTTTGTATGAGAATTAATTCTCAAACTTGAATTTCAATAATTATGATATATGCGACTTTTATTTTATGGTTATGGTTTAAATTGAATTTCTTTAAAAGGGCCAACTGCCCCTTGTGGAAATGATACTCTTTGCATAATTAAAAAAAAAAACTATCACGTTTCTACCACAAATTGATGATGGTGTTTTTTTTTTCTTTTCAATTCTGCAGATGCCAGAGTAAACACCTGATGGGCCAAGGAATGTTCTTATTCAGAAATTATTAATATTCATCATCATTTGAGCATGTCATATATAACAACACTAACTTATGGATTTGAGAGCATATTACATACAACTATCAAAATGAGAAACCTATGAATTGGGAGCAAAAAACATGATTAGCCAAATAGATTAAGAATTTAAGAAGTAATATTCCACTCTGAATAAGGACCATATAGTCTCTGATATGGATCTCTCACTTTTCAAGCAAAATACAATAATATACCATACATAACCATTTATTTTCTCAAATATTTCAATTCAAATTACAACGAGCCCAATTAATTAAGATAACAAAGATTGAACTATGTGTAGTTTAGCATACTTACACAGCTCTTTTCTTTTCTAACAAATTAGATAGACACACTTATCCCCCTAATTTATCATCTAAATTACACAAAACAAAATGATCGGGAATAAATACAAGTCTTTGTATTTCCCAGATTTTTTTCTCCTTTTAATATTTTTAGTTTTACATAATACCCAAAAAAAAAGAAAACTAAATTAAAGTTAAAATTACATATATGTTATATAAATATTTTGATTTTCTACATGCTTCTTCTAACATCGCCAAGCTGACGTGGCGACCATGGCCCTCTCATGCCAGAAAAGCACCAACTCAGCTTGGCGTTTTGCCACGTGGAAGCCTCTGATTTGCACCTTTGCGAGCAAGCATTCCGCCTGAAAATCAGCAAACTGACTCAACTGCACCGGCCTCATTCCGGCACCGTAAAACGCCTCTCGCCACGGTGTTGTTCTTCTTCCAGCAGCTTCCACCGCCGCTATTATCTTCGGCCGTAGAAGAAGCATCTCGATCCTCCGCGCCCACTCTCCTCCTCCTCCCGCCGCCACCGACGCATCCAGCGACTCCAGCATCATCGAGTAGAACTCCAAGCTATTCACAACTCCACGACGAAACGACGCCGCGGCTGCCGCCTCCGTCCATCCTTCACCATCAACAAAAACCACCACACCGGGAGTTATCCTCCGAACATCCGAGAGAAACGCAGCTGTACCGTCGGATCCAAGGCGACAGAATATCGCTGGAGTCAATAGAATCGCAGTCTTCTCACCGTCGACAAACCTAACCGCCTTAAACGACACCGTTTCAAAAGTCCTCAACGGCACAAAATCAACCTGCACCCGAATCCCAAGGTCGTGCGCAAACTGGTTGAGATTCTCACGAATAAGCCTGCTTTCAACAGCGTACTCCTCCGGCACAACCGCGGTGATACGGAGAAGCGGCGAACCGTTAACAGCCTTTTCAGCAATCTCTTTCATCAGAGAAGCATATTGAATTCCAAGTCCGATTTCAAAATCAACAACATGCATGAACGAAGATCCATGAAGCGCTTCGAGTAACGCTTGATTAGTTGTGAAAATAGAAAACATAGGAATTGGTGAAATTCCAGAAAACGCCTTGAACGTTCTAATGGTCTGAACAATCTCCACCATGGAAGAAAGACGCGGAGGATTAGTCCGGTTCGAACCGGAGAGAAGAGATTGAAGAGCGTCTTTGAAATGAAACGCTGCTCGGTGTAACGGTTTACCAGAAGGAGATCTTAGCCGTTGATTGAGCCGTTCCAATATGGCCTGAGCTAGTTGAAGATGATTGTTATCGAAACAATCCGCGGCACGAATAAGCTCTTCGATGAAATCCCAATTACTATTGTTATTATTATTGTTGGTGTGTTGGTTGTTATTGAAGTCATGAAGTAAATGATCCAGATTAGTGTTTGTGTTTGGGTAATTATAGGGCAGGTTTTGGTTATTAGAGTAAATATCTGAGAGAGAAGTGAAATCTTGGGTTTGATCAAATTGGTCTTGAGAAGGGTTTGGGTAAATTTCAGGGATGCATGGTGTTGGGTTAGAATTTTCGTGGGCGGTGTTAGTGTTTTTCAAAAGTGGTATTATGGGTGTAGAAGAGTCGTCTTGTAAACCCAAATCCTTCATGATGGAGTCCCACCAATCCAAATTAGGCAAGGCGGCATGATCCTCTTCCACTTCTAGATGTTCTTGTTCTTGTTCTTGTTGTGTTGGTTTCTTTTCAGGACTGGGACTACGGCAGAGTTCGAGAACGGAGCGGGGCTCGTAGCACAAAGTGGTGGTGGTGGTGGTTGTTGGGTTGGGAGTGGTGGTGAGGACGGTGTTTTGGGTGGTGGTGAGTTTTGGGGAAGATGATGATGATGAGGAAACTGCAGGAGGAGGAACTCTCATCGCTGGCTGTTAAAGGAGGAGGGTGAGAAAGTAAGAAAAGATGTTGTTATGTTGTGAATTGAGTTGTTGTGGTTGGATGCTTTAGTTTGAGAAAGTGAAGAGAGTGAGAGAGGCTTTTTGATTGCCATGATCGTTGCCTTTTTATCTTTGCGTGTGTGCATGTAAAGGTTGCCTGGTGGGTCGCTTTTAATATCTCTATTATCATGCCATGTATATCTATGGATAGATTAACATGTGAAGGTTGGTGTCATGCATGTTCTATTCTATCATTGTTTTCCGTTGTTTGTTTTTCCATTAGTTAATCCAACAATTTGGAAATTTTTCTACACATTCTATTCAAATCATTATTATACAATAATAATATTTTAGCACTACTCATAACTTTTAACAAATATTTAATCTTTTATTTTCTCTATATTTTCTTTTATCTATTATTTTATTATTGAACAAGAAGTTTTTTCATTTGAAAAAGAAAAATGATAAACTTACCCCATTTTTTATATAAACACCGTATATTTATACATATAATATATAAGTTTTTATATTTTAATAATTTATCTTATCTTTATTCCTATGCAAGAATATTTTTCTTTTTTATTTGTTTACCGTGTAACATACGGTGTGAGAGAGTGCGAGAAAATAGATGTTAACATAGCAAAGCTCTTTGAAAAAAAAAAACTTTGATCATCTCCTTATTTTTTCCTCCATGCTCTTTATTTTGAATGGAATTGCTTACAATTAAAGATGAAAGCCGAAGACATTAACTAAAGCTGACCTATAACCTATTTTAACAAGTCTAGATTAGAAAAAAAATTTAGATATGATAAATCTAATTTTTTTTTAAATTTATTTAATCAAAAAGAATAGACCACATGCTACTATTACAAGTAACACATATTATGTCGGACACGAAAAGGATTTCATCTTGATTACAATGTCGAGATAACAAAAGACGTCATAAAAAGTGCACATTTTACTTCTCGATTTTAAAAAAATCGACGAATATTATGTAATGGTCATGAGTTCAATCCCCATGTAGACCTTTTTGGAATTCAGATATAACATAATTTTGCATATGATTATTTTCAAAATCAATTTACTAGGTTATATGTTCAAAAAGGGGTTAGTGAAACAAACAATCGACATTAGATATTATAAACTCAACTCAAAGAAACAAGATGAGAATTGCACAAAAAATCACAAAAAAAATCTCAATATTAATATCAACAACAAAAACAACAAGAAAACAACAACAATATCAAGAACAACAACATCAATAAATAACAACAATATCAAGAAAAACAATATCAATAACAACAACGTTAACAACAATGTTGGTTTATATTCTCTCACTCAATACCAACATATTGATTTTTCGCATCTCATTAATTTTATCTCTATTTTATCCAATCTTTCTCTTTTAAATATTATATATTAGGATAAATACTCATTTTCGTCCCTTATCTTTGATTCGGGGTCCAGTTTGGTCCATTAACTTTTAAGAATATCAAAATGGTCCATCAACTATACAAAATGTATCACGTTAGTCCTTTTCGTATATCCTGTTAGTTAAATCAATGAAATGCTCTACGTAGCACTGATGTGGAATATGAAATGAATAAGTATACTTTTATTATGTTAAGGTGGAAGTCATATGTATGTCACGTAATAAATAAAATTTATTAAAAAAAATCATAAACCAATTTTTTCAAGTCAGCCACAATAAAAAAGATGAAGATCATAATTCATACTCAGAAATTTGCCACAAATTTAAAAATTTATGAATCATTTCCATCATGAGAAACCCCTATGATTGTTGTTTACCTTCACCTTCTTCCAGTCATCATCAATTTCACTAAATAATTTCCTTTTCTTTAACATACACATTTTCACTTCACTTTATTTTTCCTAAACATCATCAAATTAATTTCTTTCATCCCAATTAAATTCAAAAACAACCTCCAAATTTTAGTTACTAGTTTTTTAAAATGAACTATATGTATCCAGTGAAAGAGGAGTATTTGGAATTTGAAACAGCAACCTAATCAACATCAATGGTTGGTATTCCAGTGTAACGCTCCAGTTTATTTTATTTAATTTTTCCTAGTTAAATTGTGTGTATTTTTATGTTGATTGGTGTTTTGGTGTATTAGAGGTATTCTTTGGTGTGGGATAGCGGCTTTAAAGAGTAAAAATTAAGGGTTAGGGGTGTGTGAATAATAATGTAGAGACATAGGAGTGGTGAAAGATTTATTATGTCACTATTATTTAGTTGGATCATTTAAATAAAATAGTAGTAATAATAATTAAATATTTATTTTAAGCATTATTATTATGATAGTATGATTAAGCAAATATTTAATTTAATTAGTTGAAATTAGTAATAATAATATTATTATATTATATTAAAATAAGAAAAGAGGGGATTAAAGGGAAGTTATCAGAACACGTGAAATTGGAGAAAAGAGAAGAACGTAGAAAGGGAGAAAAAAGAAGAGAGCTAGAGCATAGGAAGGGAACCTCTAATAGAAAAGTCTCAAGATCATCATCTAAGGTAAGGGTAAGGTTCCTATTATATAAGTGTTTGTAAGATGATTGTGGATGGGTTATATCTATGCATGAATTGCTTTTCTCTTCTGTCTATGTTATGATCATTGATGCAATTGTGTGTTTATTAGAATGAATAATGTGAATGATGAATTATGAAGTTGTATCGGTGATGTTATGTTGATGATTTTTTGATGCAATTGTGTGTTGATGCTATTAGAATCATGTAGTTGGTAGAATTGCATGATGATAGATGTGTGTTGTTGATGGTTGTTGCAAGTCAGAGTCAAAACTTGAGTTATGAGTTTTTTATGAAAAGAATAGGGGTTTTGATACTTTTAGAAAAGTGACTTTTGTGTAAAATAATGTGATAAATGTATTGTATGAAAAGTGAAGTTTTGGGATGGAATAAAAAGTGATGTTCGCACTGATAAGTAGCAGAAAAATGATTATGCTCACAATGTAATCGGTTATCAGAAATGGTGTAACCAGTTACACTGCTATAAAACTGCATTTTTGGGCAATTGAGGTGTTGTAACCGGTTATCTGAAATGGTGTAACCATTTACACTGAGTGAAAATAACGTAGCAGGGGCGTTGTTACAGGAGTGTAACCGGTTACACTAGGAATAAATTTTGTAAAACTTTGAAAAATCATATCTTGAGTTCTGGGTTTCAAATTTAGGTGTCATTCGAAGCGTTATGAAGATGATGCGATGAACTTTATTTTAAAAATAATTGCAGTATCTGGAAATATTTTTTTTATAATAGTGTTAAATGCATTGTAGTGTTTATGTTGTGGTGTTGCATATTCGTAAACGCATTGTTGTTGCTTGCTATATTGTTATGTTGGTGTTATTGAAATGCTACAACAAATGTGTGGTGCATGGTGGTCAGCATTGGCGTAGTTCATTGACTAAGGAGAAGGTCATTGTGCATGGTGTTATGGTTGCATGTATTTTATGTTGCATGCATTCATGGTGTTGGACGGTGGTCTATTTTTGGTGAGCCTCAATCCTATGATGGGGATTGGGTGCGAGTAGTCGGTTCTAGGTGGGAATTAGTGAAGTGTTACCTATTATGATGGTAACAATTTTTTGTGGCCTCTAATCCTAAGGTGGGATTCGGAGAGGTGAATCTGAGAGTTTAAATTTTGGTACCACATGCACTGAATCATGATGTCGAGTTTCATTACATTGCATATTTGTTGTGTTGTTGTGTTTGGATTGTGTGGAAGTGTGATTGGTGGAATGGGTGATTATGCATGTAATAATATGATGCTTACTTATTATCATGCATTGCTATATATAGTTATGATATCTCACCCCTTTTGTTTGAATGTTTCTTTTACATGGGCATCGTGTAGATAATTCGTAGTAGAGGCATGAATGTGTGTGGAAGAGGGTGTTCTTCCTTTTATTTTTAGAGTCGAAGTCTGCTCTGATGTGTAACACTAGGGGTTAGACGTTTGTGTGTTTATTTCTGTTGGTGGAGACTTTATGAGTATCTCCTATGGTGATGTTTCTTATTATTACTATGTTTTATGTTTTATGTTTTATGTTTAAACAATAAAAATTAACATTTTTTGATGTTTCGCTGCTTAGTAAAATTGAAGTTTCAGACATGGTTAATGTTATTATTATTATTGATAATAATTTTTTAGAGTAGTATGTGTTATATATCTGATTGCATGAGCATATTTATGGTGGAAGTAACATCCTAATTGTGTAAATGTTTTAACTACTCTAATTTTTAGTTAAAAATTACACAAAGGAAATTAGAGTGTTACATAGTGGTATCAGAGCATGTCGGTCTGCCCGACCAAGTTATTGAGTTGGTTTGTCTTCTATTCACTGTTGTTGTTATTGGTGTGAAACAGAAAATGGCTGGAAGGAACGATGAGTTCCGTCATCTGGGGAAGTTTCAGTGGAATAATCCACCTACTTTTAAGGATATGTATGATTCTGATGGAGCGCAAGCTTGAGGAGATTGAAAGAATCTTATGTGTGATGGATTTCTCCAAAGCGCAGAAGGTATGGTTTGGTGCTCATATGCTGGCTGAGGAGGCTGATGATTGGTGGATCAACACTCGTCAGGTGTTAGACGCTGCAGGTAAAGTTGTCACTTGGGCTGTGTTCCACAATGAGTTTCTGAGGAAGTATTTTCCTGAAGATGTTTGCAGAAAGAAGAAGATTGAGTTTCTAGAGCTGAAGCACAAGAACTTAATTGTTACTGAGGCAACTGCTGAGTTCTCAAAGTGTATTAAGCTTAAGAATATTTTGTGCCTTGAGATTAAGCAGGCGATTAAGTATCAACATATCCTAAGATTTCTAGAGTTTGTGAACAGTTGTAGGATTTATGAAGATGATAGTAAAGCTCAGATAAATCATTATAAGAGTCTGAGTGAGAAGAGGGGAAAGAAGAATCTGAACCGTGGGAAACCTTATAGTGCTC